CTGGCACAGCTTCCCTAAAATTTCACATATTTAAATCTATTAAATGTTAATGCACTAGCTGAAATGGAACCTTCTTTCTGAAGCTTTCCAGGTATCTTTCAGTTAGAAGTAATGTTTCTCTCTTTCAAAATTCCTCACATTTTCTTTATTCATCCTAGGGGCTAGGTATGTTTCAAAATTCAGACTGCTTTGGGATTTTAGAAAAATAATAAAGAACAAATATTTATTGTATAATACCTCTAGGGAAGCCTGAGGCTGCAAGCAGTAACCAAACACACTGACAATTTTGCAGTGAGATATATGAATACTCACAAATAAACGAGACAGAGATCCTACCAGCTTCTTGTCAATTCTAAATCTAAACAGGTTGTGCTGCCAAATGAGATTAATATAATCCATTTTTTAAAAAAAATCCATTCTTTTAAAACTCTGGATATTCAGATCTTTCTAAAGATTTTGGAAAGACAGATAAGGCACTATGGACCAGTAATTATTTTCTAGAACATATGATTTTATATTATTCATGTTTATTGTATGCCATAAGTTCCATGAGGCTGATTCCTCTAAATACATGAGCCTTATTTCTTGCAATACATAAATTACTTCTGAAGCAAATCTAGAAATTGTGAAATATGAAAAAAAGTTGAGATCTGATTAACCTGAATGTTCAATATTTATTGTAAAAGTCACCATAACAGAGTTTGAAATATTATATGATTTAATTTTCAAGTTCTAGAAAATTACTGTTATCTTCTTTCAAAAAATATAAAGGACTAAAAAAGTACTATCTAATAAAAAAGAATAGCACACAAGTGTATTTAGAAGGCAAATAATCCCTATAACTTTCTGAGACCTATAGTCCAGAGAGTTACTAAATTTAACTATTTCTGTATATCCCAGTTCACACAGATATATGACTTATTTATGCTATATTTTACTCCTTGTTCTTTCACTGTAGTAAATAATCCAAACTGTTACTTTTTTATTTATTAGGACCAAGGCCATATAGAAAAACTGATCCGCACATAACATAAAAATTCTTAATGAAAACTTAAATCAAACTAAAATGTACATCTAAAAGCATTAAATATTGCCTTCACTTGTTAAAAAAGGCAAGCATCAGGCTGGGGATTTAGCTCAGTGGTTTTGCTGCCTGCTGAGCAAGCGCAAGGACCCGAGTTCGATCCTCAGTACCAAAAAAAAAAAAGGCAAGCATCTACATTGAAAAATAATGACTCAGTCAATGATATTAGCAAGTCTTTCACATATATTAATAAAAGAAGCAGACTGCTTACATGAAAAAGCTGCAGACTAAGAAACTATCAGAAACAGAAAGCAGCTCTGGTCCAGAAGAGTGGACCTTTGACTTACAAACTCAATTTGTTTGAGAGGGCTGGTTGTTAACTCAAGTTGGTCAACTGAAGGCTCAGGCTCCTCTACACAGCCTTCAAAGTCTCTTTCCTATATACAGGCAGACCTCAGTGTCCTTAGAGAGACACTGGCCCAGGATTTCTCAATTGACCCCACACAGGAAAGGATGTTGTAATGTTCCTTCCAGAACTCAGAACTCTGTAAAGGTTAAATCTGTATCTGAGACCATCTAGAAGCACAAGCAGCTGGAATTTAGGTCATAACTTAAGGCTTTGTTTGTAAGTTAAAACAAAAATTCTGGCCCACTATCACCACTCTTGTTCAATATAATTCTGGAAATATTAGCCACAGCAATTAGAAAAGAGAAAGAAATAAAAGGAATAAAGACAGGAATGGAAGAAGTCAAACTGTCACTATTTGCTGACAATATGATACTTTACATAGACGACCCAAAAAACTCCACCAAAAGACTTCTAGCCTTAATTGACAGAGTAGAGTAGCTGGATACAAGGTCAGTTCTCAAAAAACAATAGCCTTCTTGTACACAAATAACAGACTCATTGAGAGAGAAATTAGGGAAACAATTGCTTTTACAAAAGCATCCAAAAAAATGAAATATCTAGGAATCAATCTAACAAAGGAAGCAAAAGATCTCTACACTGAAAACTACAGCACTCTGAAAAAAGAGATCGAAGAGGATTCAAGAAAATGGAAAGACATCCCTTCTTCCTGGGTAGGAAGAAACAATATAGTGAAAATGGCCATACTTCCAAAACTACTATATAGATTTAATGCAATGCCGACGGAAATTCCAACAATATATTTCACAGAACTAGAGAAAACAATCCAAAAATTCATTTGGAACCAGAAGAGACCTAGAATAGCTAAAGCAATTCTAGGTAACAGACATGGCAGGGGGTATCACAAATCCCACCTTGAAACTATACTACAAAGCTACTGTGATAAAATCAGCATGGTACTGGCAAAAAAACAGATCTGAGGATCAGTGGAATAGAAGAGAAGATACAGTAACAACTCCAGATATACTCAGCCACCTCATCTTTGACAAAGGAGCCAACCATCCTCACTGGAGGAAAGATAGCCTATTTAATAAATGGTGTTGGAAAAACTGGATTTCAACCTGTCAAAGATTAAAACTAGACCCATACCTATCACCATGCACTAAACTAAGATTGAAGTGGATTAAATATCTAAATATTAAGACAGAAACACTAAACTTTCTGGAAGATAAGTTAGGTAGAACTGTTGAAGACACTGGCATAGGAAAAGACTTTATGAACAAAACCTCAGTAGCATAGGAACTTGCACAAAGAATCAATAACTGGGATCTCATTTATTAAAAAGCTTCTGCACTGCAAGAGAAACCACCAACAGAGCTAAGAGACAACCTACAATGTGGGAAAAATTTTTTAGCAGCTATACCTCAGACAAAGGATTACTATCTAGAATATATAAAGAACTGAAAAAAATCAGACCCCCCAAATTTAAAGACCCAATTCAAAAATGGGTATCTGAAATGAACAGACATTTCTCAAAGAAGTAAAAGCAGCAAACAGACATGAAAAAATGTTCAACATCACTCATCATTCGAGAGATGTTGATGAAAACAACACTGACATTCCATCTCACCCCAGAAAGAATGGCTGCTATCAAGAAATCAATCATTAACAAATGTTGGTGGGGTTGTGGGGAGAAAGGAGCCCTTCTCCATTGTTAGTGGGAGTGCAGACTGTTGTAACTACTGTGGAAATCATTATGGAGACACCTAAAGCAACTAGGACTGGAAGTCCCATTTGACCCAGCTATTTCCCTGCTGGGTATGTTCCCAAAAGAATTAAAAGACTCATACCACAGCTATATACGTGCACCCATGTTTACAGCGGCACAACTTGTAATAGCTAAAGCTTGGAAACAGCCCAATTGCCCATCAACTGGAAACTGGATAAAGAAGATGTGTTTTTTTTTTTATAAAATGGAGTACTACTCAGCCATAAAGAATGAGAAACTAGAGACATGTATAGCTAAATGGATGCATATTGAGGCCATACTCTTAAGTGAAATAAATAGGACACACATGTGTAACGAATAGTTTCTCTGGTGTGAGAAACTGAAAGTGTAAATAAGGGTTAAAATGATTAAAACAAATAATTGATAATTTCAAATACGAAGAAAAGTTCCAAAGGAGTAGGGGAAGTGGGAAGGGTAGGGGAAAGAAGGGAAAGGAAAAATTATGAGAAAAGGAAAAATTGGAAACAAAGTCTTTGTAAATAGGGAAGGGTGGAGGGGGTAAAGGGAGGGCTGGGAATGGGGAAAAAATAAGAACCAAGATACATCATGTACAGGTACAAGTACCCAATGATAAATGTAAATGTACTGTATACCTAAAATGTACCAATAAAAGAATTTAAGGAAAAAAAAAAAGGGAAGTCAGAACAATTAAAGAGAAAATATGGAGCAGAGACATACAGCCTGGAAGGACAATTAAAATTCTGTCAACCATTCAGCTCTTTGTAGATTCCCAGATGACTTGCGTTTAGTAGCTATCCAGGTGGCTGGCTGAGGTTTTCACCTATTACCACGTTTCTGGCATCCTAAAACAGTGGGCTACAAGCCATTTTTGCAGAAAAGTGAGAGTTGAACCATTACTAATTGTCTACATAATCAAGTGGAGACCTTGAGGATTTTTATTCAATGACTTGTGGCTTTTCATAATAAAAAAGCAAAACGAGTCACTGAGAAGATGGTAAATTTATTTGTAGCTCCCTAGAAACTCTTCTCCTTCTACAGAAGGCAGATGAAAAGGTTAATTCTCAGCTACCTGAGAAGCTGGGACACCTGGGCTCAATAACAGAATTTCTTTGCAATCCAAAAGGCTGACTCTATCCTATCAGAAAGAACTCAAAGCCTAACTGAAAAAGAATTAATAATGTGGAACAGGGAATAATTTGACAGAGTAGAGAAAATTCCATTTTTAACCTATTCTGCACTGTGGGAAACAGTGACTAATGTGGTCTGAGTATGTGAGCAAAGGTTTGGAAAAAAAAAAACCCATATGAACCAAGTAAGAGGCAGGGAATAAGAAATGCCTGGTTCTTACCACTGTTAAGTGATTTTGAAATTCTGTCATCAATGCATAATGGAGAGTAAAAACAACTCAATATATCTGAATCTTCACAGACATAAAGGTATGTCTATATTTTAAATATACACATTTCTACTATGTCATTTCATCGTTGCCATGAAATTTATTGTGCCAATCCTCAGTTCTTTTATGTTTCTTGCTGTCCACAATCATTAAAAACAAATGGGTTAATAAAAAAAAAACCCCAAAAAACCAAAAAACCAAAATTCTGGTCATAACCCAAGCTGTTTGTATGTCAGGGTCCACTGTAACTCAAGGGTCTACTGTACTGTACTGTAAATAGAGCTAAAGTAATACTTTTAATGCAGATTTTATAAATTAGAGGGATCACAAAAGCTTTCAAACCAGTAAAATGCCCTTTCTTAGAAACAACACAAACAGGCCAGTTGTATATATTTCAATATTAACTCAATTATATAAGAACAATTCAAGCTCAGAAAAAATTTTCTGTAGAATTATGTCATACCAGGACAGCTAGAAACAGGTGTTCCCATATTAATGAGGCAAAGAGCACATCGAGGAAGGGGTTTTCGACAGCCAGGGCAGCTTGTGACTTTAGACTTTGTTGGGGAGCCACTCACACCATACTGACTAAAACCTCTGCCCTGATGAGGCACAGATGAACAGCTGTAGGAGATGGACTTGCCACAGAAATTACAACTCACAAACACCTACAAAACAAATGAGAAGAGAAATAAATGTGATGCAAATCATAAAGATGATAAAGTTTTAACCAAAAAATTATTTTATAGTATCTTAAAAACCATCTGAGGGCTGGGGATTTAGCTCAGTGGCACCACGCCTGCTTTGCAAGTGCAAGGTCCTGAGTTCGATCTCCAGTACCAAAAAACAAAAAACAAAAAACCATCTGACACTGCAAAATGACTTATCTGCTAAATCTGATTAGCTCTCATTTATAATCACCCCTTAGTTACAATACATGGGTAGCTCCTTTCTGTTATCTTCAGTTATATTCTTCCAAATACCATTGATATTGCTGGAAAATTAGGAACTTCAGACCCTGACATTTTAGATTTAACAAAGACATTAGAATTCACATGGCCATTTAAAATATCCTCTGACTTTTTAAAAAAGTTCAGCGATGTAATCTTCTGAACAAAATTTCCTTATAAAGAAAACAGTCTGTTCCTAAAATAAAAAGGAGTTAAGGATCCTTAAAGACAAATTGTTAAAATTTTAGAATAGCAGCAGTATATGGTATTCATTTGCTTTTATAGTAAATGCCTCAGTTTTTATTATACAGATTATTAACATATACAATAGCATATCATTTTACAATACTCTGGTTGCTTTAATATAAGCATATTAATTTCTCAATTTCCTAAAATAAGAGCACCATCCAGTGCCCATATTGAGGAAAACCTAATCCTTAATGTCTAAACTAAGATAAAATGATCTTAGATCATGTGTCCCAGTGAAAGGGAATTTCTAGGCAAACAGATAAATTTCTAACAAAAAAATAACTAAATTTGACTACTATGAGTTAACTGTGTTATTAAGCAACTATGAGTTAACTAGCTAACTATGTTCTTTGTAGAATGTACCTGAGTAGCCACTACAACTTCTGTAATCTATCACCAAAAGAGCGTAACGGACTTAGAAAGTCCTGCCAAGAACTCCCCCCACAATGCACTGCTTTGTGTAAACTCTGCTTGCTATATTCCCAGGGAAACGCCAATGAAATTAAGATGTAAAAAATGTCAAATAACTAACCAAACAAAGACTGCCAAATACTCTGCTTCCGTACTTCCTGCTTGCAACCCTATAAAACTGGCGGCTCACTGATATTCTGGGCTTGACTTCTTTGGGAGCAATCCTAGTCAGGTCCATTAATGTAATAAAAAAGTTGTACAATGCCTCCTGCCTCCCTGGGTGTCTTCCTTCCCAGATTCAGTTTGCTACACCACTAGGACAGCGGTGGCAAACTTATGGCCCATGTGCCACAGTGGGGTGTCTGCATCACTGAAAGCTCTAAATGGTTCACCATCACAGTCCTAGGATACTGATTCCATGGTTTTTAAACTAGCGCTAAAAGAAAAAAAGATTTCCATGTACAATTAGACATATAAAATGCATATACTATTAAGTTAAAAACATTTCCCCAAATCCTGCTTTATTGCACATTAAGAGTGCAGAAAACTACATAGATGGGATTTCTAATATCACATTAATAGTTTAGATTCTGAAAGGCCTTGACACATATTGGAAAACTTCATACAACCCCAGGATTTAGGCTTTCCTAAGATCCTCTGGACTTCTGTAGTTTGTTCCATCTCAGACTAATGCTCAACCGCCTAGTATGATTGTTAGGACTGGCAGAACCAAAGAACAGGAAGATCAAGAGTAAGTACAATCTGAAATAGACATCAATGGGAACTTGATACAAGCAAAAGAATGAGCTGAAAATAACTTATTAAATTGAAATAAAACATGTTATCATTTGATTCTCTGTAAAACAATGTTCTTACCTGTGCTAATGGCTTGGAACTGGGATCCAACTTACTCCTGTGAATATCAAATTCAGCTCGTTTGTGCCAAAACCTCCAAGCATCTAATAAATTTCTATAATTCTCAATCCAGTACTGGACTCTTTCATCTTTCAGAACATCTAAAGGTGAGCCCTAAAAAGAACACAAATTATTTCCGTTGTTTAAAATGTTCTGTTTAACCCAGAGGATTCTGTGTAACATGGGAGTACGAGTCAGACAGAAGAAACAGTCCCCCTTTTTGCCAAAAGTTGTTTCCTAATGAGGATACAGATAACGGATAGAAGCTCCATTAATTTACCTCAAGCTGGTCTTCTCTAATGATATAAATATACATCACAGATACCATACTGGCTAGGGAAGTGTAATTCTCTTTTAGTTGAGTTTAAGGAGCTGGGAACAAACAATTCACCTCCATGGTTGAATAGTGATGTGAAAAGTTTTGTCCTAACTATTAAAACCTCTGGGTTCATAAACTCTTTACTAGTTTATCCAAATACACACCAAAATTTCTCAATCACATATAAATGAGTACGGAGCCTTATTCTTCATATCTAGCAAGGTACTATAAATGGAAATGCTGTTTTTGAACACCTATCATCTGTAAATTAATCTATTCTTTCTCTTGCCTCCAATTAAAATATATTTTTTTTTTACTTAACAAAAAAAGAAAGAAAACAAAAACCAAACATTTTCTTGACCCCCCCCCCCACAGGGCATAATGCAAAGTAACAATTTTTTTCTTAAATTTACTGGAGTTTTGGAGTTCTCATTAAGAACTTCTTTTCTCTTTCTTTCTTCTTTTTTTTTTGTACCAGGGATCAAACTCAGGACCTTGCGCTTGTGAGCCAGGCACGGCACCACTGAGCCTGTCTTTCTTTTTTCTTTTCTTTTTTTTTTTTTAACAGTACTATGGATTGAATTGAACTATATCCTCAGTCTTTTAAAAAAATTTTTACTTTGAGAAAGGGTCTAAGTCTCTAAGTTTCCCAGGCTGGGCTTGGAATTGTGATCCTCCTGCCTGAGTCTCTCAGAGTCCTGAGATTGCAGGCATGTACCACCATGCCCAGCTAAGACTTCAATTTCTTGGTGGTAAGAATTTTCCTTAACCTGTATTTTCCTTAACCATACTAGATGGTAGCTGTGACATTCTACATTTCATCTATGCTTGGTTTCAATTTTTGTAGAAGGCTTTTAGCTCTGTCTAGGAAATCCTCCTGAACTTTACATGATACAGAAAGCAGAGAAAGACTACTTGTAATACCTTGGACATGAGTTTGAATCCCAGTTTTCCCAGTCCTACTTGAGGCCAGACAGAAAAGGAAAATAATATTAGAAAAAAAACTAGCAAACATTTTACTTATGGGAAAAGAATAGAAGCCTGTAACAGTTAATAAAATCTATCTTTAGATATTCAATCAAAAGCATGAGCCTGTCTTTCATCTATTAAGTATTAATTTCATGATCAGTTAAATTTAGCAAAAAATGTGAAAAACTCATAATTTTATTTCTTAAAAAAAAGAAAATATCTACTTTAGTCTTAAATATGGCCAATTAAGCAAAACTAAGTACTAAAGTAGTGTATTATCCCTGGTTTTAAAAAAAATTCACAGAGCTGGGTATGGTGGTGTAAACCTGTAATCCCAGCATCCCTCAAGGCTGAGCCAGGAGGATCACAAGTTCAAGCCTAGTCTGGGCAACTTAGTGAGACCCTGTCTCAAAAATTTAAAAAAAGGGCTGTGGATGTAGCTCAGTACAAATGCCTTGGGTTTGAGCCCCAGTACTGGGGATGGGGGTGGGGATCACAGAAAAACTAGGTGTCATCATACCCTCTTCCTGGTTTCATGGCACTAAAGATGAACTAAAAAGACGGCAGTAAGGACAAATTAAAAAGAATTTGGTCAACTCATATTTGGTATGGCTTCTCTAGACCTGCCCTGATAAAGCCTAAAATCACCAAAATCTGTAGAGGAAATAGTTCAGAGATTAGTCTGACCAAACCAGTAGGGCTTGGGCAATAACTTGGGCTTCTCACAGATTCACAGTAACAAAAAGGAAGGCCAAAATTCATCAACAAGTAACTGAACTCTCAAAAGTAATAATAATCATTATTTTTCAGAAAAGGATCAAAGTAGCCAGATCTACATAATATGTATACGATGCCCAATAGTCAATAAAGAAATCACTAGACATATAATAGGCAAATGTGCTTCAAAGTAAAGGAAAAGGAGGTCAACAGAATTAAAAATAAAATAACTGATACATTAAGATTTAGCAAAGACCAATGCAGCAGGTTCAAAAAAAGTATTCTATGACTGACAAACACAATAGCTGAAATTAAGAATTTGCTGGAAACCTTAATAGCAGATAAGAGATACAGAAGAATCAATATATAAATCAAGGAAAATAATTCAATCTGAAGAACAAAGCCCTCACCCCAGACTCGAACCTTAGGCACTTATGGACAATATCAAATGGTTTAATATCTACATCATAAGAGTCCAAAAACAAAAAAGAACAAGATTGGAGCAACAAAAAATATTTAAAGAAATAATGAATGAAAATTTCCCAAATCTGGTGAAAAACACTAACAGGCACAAGAAGCAAAACCATTAACAGATATAAGAAGCTAAATGACCTACAAGCAGGATTAAAAAATGACAACTAGGCACATGAGTATAATACTGTTGACAAGCAAAGATAAAGAGAAAATCTTGAAAGAAGCCCAAGAAAAAAATGAATGATCAACAGGGAGACAAAGAAGAGCAGACTTTTCATCAAAAATAACGGGGGCTAGATAATATGAGGCTACCTCTTTTAAGTGTTGAAAGGAAAAAAAAGATGAACTAGACATTTTCAGTTAAAAATTAAAAGCTGAGGGAATTCTTCACGTATACTATGAGAAATGCTAAAGAGAAAGACCAAAGGGAAAAGATACCAGGTGAAACAGAAGGAATGAAGAATGCCAGAAATAGCAAATAAGTGAATAAATACAAGGTCATTTCCTTTCAACTCATAAAAGACACAATTTTTCAAAAACAAAAATAGTAACACTGAATGTTAAGTTTCTTCTAATATATGTGGTGTAATAAAAATACAATAAATGATTAAATATAAATTTAAAAATTTATTTCAGTAAAAGATACACTACCATTAACTCCACCCTACCCTCAATACACAAAATGTATTGAGTGTCTTTCCTGGCTGTCTGGATATCCTGAATTGATTCAAAATGTTTACAGCAATTTCTGACAAATAACATGGTGTATCCTCATCTAACTTCTTTACCTGATCTTGCACCATGAAGCTTTTGGCTCTTCCTTAAAGTCAAAATGACCATGAGAGGTAAACATTTTGAATGTTGTAAGTGTTCAGTTGTAGGTGTTCGGTACTGTGTCCCAGAGATGAAAAAGTGACTAAGACACACACTGGAATCAGAGAAGTGGGGTCATTGATGTAACTATATCTGACCATGTGGCGAAGCCCTTGGAATTGGTTCATGGGAGAACTTTGTAAAGTCTTGGAGATGTCACATAGAGGAGCCTTAGAATGCTGAAAGCAGAGTTTGATGGGAGATACTGGTAGGAACTCAGAAGCCCAGAATGCTGACAGGAATGTAGACTGTAAAGGCCAGGCTCTGGAGGTTTCAGTTAGGAACAAGGACTCCACTGACAGTTGGACTAGAGGCCATATGTGTTGTGGTTTGGTAGAAAATTTGTCTATATTTTGCCATAGTTTGAGACTTTGCATGAGACTGAGATTAAGGGTGGTGGACTAATTAATCTGGTGTAGGAAATTTCAAAGCAGCCCAATGTTCAGGGTGCAGCATGAGTACTGCATGCTATAATTTCTTACATCTATACTGAGAATCAGAATAGGGGGCAGAACTGAACAATCTGAAGTTTGTAGTTTTGCCAGAAAGAAAGAGTCTATAAAGTTGAAGCAAAGGACAGCATGGTTGCTGAAAAGATTTGCATTATAACAAAGCCAAGTATTTTGCATCAGGACAATAGAAAAGATGGCCTGAAGTTAACTCAGGAATCACCCAGACCCTATCCTTCATTATTTCAAGGGTGCAAAACTGTAAAGCTTTCAATTGAGAAGAGTGCCTCTGGCCCTTCTGCTTAAGAACAGCTGCCTAAGGAACTGGTTCCCTGGGATTTGTTACATAATGGTCAGTCATTCTGGCATTCAGAGTTGCTGTAGCCATTATCACAGGGGGCATGGCTACTGCTTGAGCTGGTGGTAGACCTTAGTGTCATCCATGTGGTGCTGGCTTTACAGACATGCAGAATACAGGAGCCATGGGCTCACAGAGCCTTTTACCTAGATTTCAGAAGAAGGCCTGGGAAGCCCAGCAGTGTGCCCCCACGAGGGCAGAGAGTGAAGCTATAAGAGTGAAGCCAAAAGCACAAGAGACCCCAAGAAGCTAGAGATGACAAGAACATGCTGTCTGCTAAGGAAAGCTCCAGGGAGTGAGTAAAACCACCCTAAGAAAGAAGCCATGTGAATTGCAACAAGCAATGCTACAGAGTCAGGGTTACCCAAGCCTTTTGGAATTCACAACTTGATCCAGGTACTGGACATGGAACTACAAGATTTAATGTTTGCCCTGCTGGGTGTTAGTCCTGCTTTGCTTGCTTTGGTTCCATTCCTTTCTATGTCCCTATTTGTCTCTTTTGGAATAGGAATGTTCACCCTGTAATAATATATATTAGAAGTACAGTCTGTGAGTAACTTGGTCCGTGAGTGTTTTGCAAGACAAGCAAAGATTTCTGAGAAATTTTAACTTGATAAACAAGCAATGTCTTCCAATACAAGTAGTATGTCATGCTGAACATCACAGGATCACAACTGCTTCTTCTCTCTCTCTGCTTTCATATACAAGAGGTTTGGATTATAAGCAGAATGAATTATTAACGTAAACTAAGGTATTACTGTATTTGACTTTCTTTTTGACTTTTACAGGGGCTCACAGCTAAGAGCTTGCCTGAGTCAAACTCTGTGAGCCAAAATAAACATCCTTTAAATTGTGGATGTCCAGTATCAGTCTCAACAATGGGAAAGTGATTAAGATAGTACGTAAGTGTAATTACCCTGCTGTAACATTTGCGAAGCTCTAAATTTGAAGTAAGAAAGTGCCAAGTATAAGGTAGGAAAAGGAAAGGAAAAGGTAAAAAAAAAAGAAAGCGTGAAGAGCATATTCGGTTTGTAATGTGAAGTATGGGGGGCTAAAATGTTGATCGTGATAAGGATGCATCTTCATAGACTGAAGGCAACAACTTTAACAAAAACATAATAAAAAGAGTATTTAATTAAAAGGGCAATAGAGGAATTAAAGTAAAACAAATATTCAATTTACCCAAAATAAGGCAATAAAGGAGCAGAGGAGTAAAACATAAAGACAAAATTCAAACAAATAACAAAATGGCTAACTTAATCTTGACCATGTAAATATAAATAGAGGAAACATCCCAATTAAAAAGCAACAACTATCAGTCTACAATATTTTTTGTTTATTTGTTTTTTGAGATAGGTCTCACTATGTAGTTCAGGCTGGCTCTGACCTCATATGCAACCCAGGCTGGCCTCAAACATGGCAATCCACCTGCCTCAGCCTCTCAAATGCTGGGATTACAGGCACAAATCACCATGCCTGGCTTTAGTCTAGATATTAAAAAAGCAACTATCATACATTGTCAACCTTTAAAATATATTTCATATATCTAACGAAGTTAACCCATTTGTACTCTGTAGTCATACTTCTGCAATTTAACAGACAGAATCTTATTCCAGAAAGAAAAAACTTTTTTCTTTCATAGGCAGTGGCATGATAACTTTAGGTAAGTTTACTTTACAGTTTGTGAACCACTATTCAGTTACACTCGCAGGAAGGTAGATCTGGGGAATGGACATTTTACAATGGTTACCTTTACCTAGTACACAGCAAGCTTTTATATTGTATAAAAGGAAGAGAGCAAGAAAGAGGGTATCCATGAAAGGATAAGATTCTCCAGAAATCTGCTTTTACCCACTGGACAGTAAAAATGAGAAAAAACAGATAAAGGAGTTGCCCAAATCATCCTCACTGATAACAGAAAGAGAAACTGAGAGTTAAGAGAACTGTGATTTAACTTGGCTTCTGAATTTGAAGTGAGACTGTAGCTCATATCAGGGAAAGAGAAACTCTTTTGTAGAAGATGCAGTTCTGTCAACAATTGGAGAAATTGAAGAAAAGTTTCTTTGTTCCATTTGAGCTTTACACAAATTCAGATGCAATCAAGACTGGTACTTTCCAGAATGAAAGGAAAAACTGGATAACCCAATAAGACTCAGGGACAGTAAGATAAGACACAAGTCCTCAGCAGATCAAGTGATTAGATCAAAGCTAAATGTCTTCTAGAAATCCTAAGTAAACAAAAGTACATGCTCTCTTTCAACTGAGGGAATACAGAAAGTGGTTCAGGTTTCTTTCTTTTACTTTTTTTTTTTTTTAAGTGTGTTGTCAAACTGCACTAACCTGTAACATGCAGTAACTTGCTGTCTGGACATCTCCAGTTCTATCAACATAACTCTCCATTAAGTCCACTCCATCCTTAGTAAGGCCTGTAAGCAAAATTCCTTCCAGATTTCCTGCTTCTTTCATTTCATTGGTCAATTTCTCGATGTATCTATTTAACTAGAAAATTCAAAGTGATTTTTTTCTAAAGCAGTCTGTTTCACTTGCTTTGTACTTGAAAACTACATTTGGAACAATCTGATTCATCAAGGAAAACATTTAAAATAAAAGCCAAGAAGGAAAGAAGGCCACATCTACTATTTCAAATTTCAATCAGTATCCACAAATATTACCCAACATTTTAAAAAGCAAGACATTTACTATGTTCTGATAATTATTTTATTAAAACAATAGTTTACTATTTTGAGAGAGAATTGTCCTCATTATTCTGCAAAACTCTTGTTGTCTATTGTGGGAATATTTAATGTAATCACAGAATCTGAGTTGAAAGGGAACTTCAAAAACAGTAACAACCATTTTTTTCAGTGTTCTCTGACTCAATGCCACCTCAAACTCCAGCCAAGATTCCTCTATATTCCTCAGCATTTCATCATTATTAAAGTACTTAACACACTGTATTACTAGTTGTTTATGTACACTTCTCCCTCACTATACTCACAGCTGCAACTGTTTATTATATTGAAAATAAAGGATTTCTGTCATAGCATCACTAAGAAGTGAGTTTAACATTTTTATCTGCCAACCAGTCTTTCCCCTCAAAGCAAAATTGAACTAAAATATCAAGTCAATATTCTAAAGAAGTAAATTTAGTTATGATAGACACATTTACAGTATCTCCAATATAATAAAAAATGAGTACTTTTGGAATCTATAAAAAGCACACATATAACTACATATAAAGACTTCTTATACAAGTGATAATAAATATTAATCACCTCACATATATAATTAAATCATTTCTCACCTGAGTATCACTAAGGAATTTACAAGCAAATGCCACTCTGTCACGTACCGCAACTTTGTCTTCATACTGGAAAAAAGAAAAAGCAACACGTTACCTGTACATGCTGTAAGATTTAAATTTTTACAGAGACTAAATATATGTTTGTTTTTAAGTATGCTAAATTACTGTATAATGTTGGAAGAGTCAATGACTGCCTGGGATTCCTTTTCTCATATAACTCTCAAGGAACTTAAAATTAAAGCTGTAGTCCTTTTGTTTTTTTGTTTTTGGTTTTTTGGGTTTTTTTTGGTACCAGGGATCGAATACGGGACCTTGCACTTGTGAGGCAGACGGTGGCACCATTGAGCTAAATCCCTGGCCCCTTAAAGCTCTAGTCCTTGAAAGTAAAGATTTAGTTTTTTAAAATGGACCAAATTTACTTTTTAAAAAAAATTCAAGCTGGGTGTGATGACACACACCTGTAATTCCAGTACTTGGGAGGCTGAAGCAGAAGGATCACCGTGAGTGTGAGGCCAGCTTGGACTACATAAGGAGTTTGAGGCCAGCCTGAACAACACAGCAAGATCCTGTCTCAACACACCCCGCCAAAAAAAAAAAATTCAGTTGGGTCTTATATAACATAAAATATAAGCAATTATGGATATTTCATCAAATTTAAGATGTCATGTAATCCTTCTATTACAGAAATTAATTTTGAAGAAACTAGAAAATCTTTCATTGGCTAAGTTAATCAACAAGTCTAAGCAATTTGTGAACTGAGTACACAAGTATTGTTTAGAAAGAATACCTGTATCTTTCTAAATATAAAACATCAAGTCTTAAAATAAATAAATAGATCCAGTTTTGTGTTTAAAGTAAAATACTGTTCTATATGTGATTTGTGGCAAAATTTTCAGAGGCATTATAACAAATGTTTATATACCTGTCAATATTGTAAAATACCTATGAAAAATGTTTGCTATAAATTTAGGAAAGTATACATTAATTCTGTGAGTAGTAAAAAGTTATTTAAAGGTGGGAAAAAATCTAATTTCCATTGAAGCCATTCTACAAAAATTTTCCCTCTTTAAATATATGATCCCTTAGTATGTTTTCTTAATTATAAAATGTAATCCTGCCCTAGAGGAAACAAACTCTTAGACTTAGTTGCATGTGTTATAATTTTGATTTGGAAAGTGTTATAAATATTATTTGTCCTATTTTAGAGCTGGGAAAACTAGAGCCCAAAAAGGTTAACTGTGGTACAGGAACTCAGGCCTTTATCAGACTTTCCAATTCAGTGTGTTTCACTACCTTACTGCAATTTAACACTAAGAAAAAAAAAAAAAAAGCCCACTGATTACAATTACATACACATAAAGTATAATTAAATACATTATTCAGTTTGGATATATGAATTTTCATCTCAGTTATTCCTTACTTAATAACCCACATTTAAGAATGAGAATGAAAGGGTACTTAAAATATGAAAATTTAATATTTAAACAGTATACTTTATAAATTCACTTCTTTTTCTAATCTTCATTCTCTTTTACTTACTGGAAGCATCATTTTACGGCTTCAAGATTCAATATTTAATGTATTCTCTTTAACAAAAGTAGTAGTAACAATCAAAAAATAAACATTAATTTTAAATGGCTAGAAAAGTTCAATGGTAATTTATTAAAAGTAACGGAAAAATAGATGAACTGTGCAAAATGCCAAAATGAACATTAACACTGAAAATTTTAATATGATACACCAATAAAGTATATACTTTTACAAATTCTAAGGGATTGACATTTAAATCAATTCTTCAAACACTGTAATATAAGAAATGCTGTAACAGCAAACATAGAAGTTGCAGTATATAAGACTCTTCTCACTGCTAGAAAGAAGCCCAACAACACAAAGTAAGTTGTACTAATAGGAAGCTGAAAATCCAACAACAGAAACCAAAGTGCAGATCAAGAAGCTATTTGGTGATGTGGTAGCTAAAACAGGAGAGAAAAAATAACAACAAAAAAGACCAAATACTGAAAAAAATAAAATGGTCCACTATAAGTAGTAGTATGATCATAATTTACCTTCCAAATACAAACAGGTCTGAGAATTAACAAGTGTTAACTCCGAAAAGATGTATGGCTATCTTGACCAAAATTGGTAAGACTGATCATGAGTGTTTTATTTAGCTAAAAAACAAAATAATATACAGAGTATATTTAAATAGCAAGTATATTTTTATGTTTATATATTAGATTTGTAGAGCTCAGTTCTTAAGCTAAGGGATTAAATATATTCCTTTTCTATCTAAATTACACTAACACAGCTATGAAAATCAAGACCAGCTTGATATCCATTAACTAGATTGGCAATGATACCCAGAAACAAATGCTCAAGAAAATCTTTAGATGCTTTATCTTATACATACACCAAAATATAATATACAATGCATCAGATATTTGAAAATTTTAACAAAGTCAAATTTTAATAAACTCCAATCTTAATTCAAAGGAGGATCTTGGAAAACAAATTAGCTTACCAAAACACCATCGTAAGATCCTGTTTCACTTGTCAGAAATGCAAACATGACACATAGATAAGGGTTGTTGAGTTGTAATCGTAGTGTACTGCACATTTCTCTCCAAAGGGAGTTCTTCTCATCTGTATAACCCGATAAAGCCATTGCTACCACATTGAGATTTAGATCTCCTGCATATTAAAAATAGCCAGGTTAAAAACTTGGTATCCCCTTCTTACATATTCCTTAAACCATAAAAACACAGAGATCAGAGGGTTACTTTTATCCTAGAAAAACGAGTCCTCTAGAAATAAGGGCTTTGATTTAGACTGGAAAATTTGGCAAGGACTATAAGCAGAAACTTTCCATTCTTATAAACTTTTCCATTCTTATAACTTTCCACACTTGTAAACCCTGTGCAGGACAAGTGTATCTCTTAATTTTCAAGTTCCTGTTCAAGGCAGTTCCCTGGATAGTATGTTATTCCTTAGTATCTAAATGAAGAAAAGTAAAACCACTCTACCAGAATCACTGCCAACTTTATCAAGTTCATTTGTGTTGTGCTATTTCAAAGCATTGACAGTAATTTTTACTGCATTTCAGAATTGTAATTTTCAAAAGCATTTTATTTTCCTAAATATATAATGTACATTTTATATGTGTGTGAACCGCAAAGTACAGAAAGCAAATATTTCAGCATTCTTATTATAGTATTATACTTCTGATTTTTCTAGGACAACTCAACTATCAGAATTATCATAGAATTGCATTTATGCATATTTGGAACAAACCATTTTCTACTATAGTTTTTTTTGGACAGAGTCTTGCCATGCAGTTCAGGATGGCCTTGAACTCACTGTGTAGCCCAGGCTGGCCTCAAACTCATGGAGAGCTTCTTGCCTCAGCCTCCCGAGTGCTGGGATTATAAGCGTGCATCACCATGCCAAGCACTACCAATAACTTTTTTGTTGTTGTTGTTTTAAAAAATTTGTTCTTAGGAGTTTATTATTTGGCCACTTGGAAGCTGCCAAACCTGGCCTCAGAAGTCCAATGGGTGCAAATTCTTCTAACATACATTAAGCCTCAGAGAGAAAACTAAGCCCCTTTAACTTTTCCTATTAGGTATTTTCTACATTTATTATAATTTTGAAATTCTGTTTATTAGTTAAAACCATTCTTTTCCAAATAAATTAACAACACGTACTTTATGTTCTTAACAAGTCTATTTTTCATTTTTACAAACCATTTTCCTCATTACTTAGTAATTTATCTTCTGTGCAAGTGTTTAAATCTACTACCAAATTTTCCAGATATACATGATAAGAAAATATGTTATAGCAAAATTATAATTAGAAATAGATTTTTCTTTTTTGGAGAGCTGGGGAATCTAACCCTGGGTGTTTTTTTTTTTTTTGGTACCAGGGATGGAAAACAGGACCTTGCACTTGAAAGGCAGGTGCCAGAACCACTGAGCTAAATCCCCGGCCCTTGGGTGTTTTTTATACTATGTATGGTAGGTCAGTGCTCTATTACTGAGCTATGCCTTTAGCCCAGAGATGGAGTTCTTGAATTTAAACGCCTTTTTCCCATCCCCACATATCATTTATTGCACTCTCAAATGGAGAAGGTTTTCATGAGAGCAATGTGAAGGAAAATATGCCTATCTAGGCAAAATATTAACTAATATACTACAGTTAATTTCATTGTTTTTCTTTATGCTATAGCTATAATGGTTTCAAAATGGACCAGCAAGTAAAAATGAAGTACTTTGAAAACTTAGAAAACAATTTACCCCCGGGGCACTGCACCTGCCTTGCAAGCACAAGGTCCTGAGTTCGATCTCTGGTACCACACACACAGACAAAAATTACTAGGCATATTAAAGATAGTTATTCATTTTAGGTATTGTTAAGTGAAATATTTCTATAAGAAAAACCTTGAAATTTTAGATTAAGATTTGTTTCTCTAAGGATCCTCTGGTAAAATGCCAGAGTAAAACTACCTTGTCACATTTTTGTTCTTTTAAAAAAAATATCATAGGGAACCTTGAGTCTACAAAACTCAAGTAGAAGCATTTTTTTATAGATCAAAGTATACTTTTTATAAGAATCTATACTGATCTAGGGGCAGGGGATTTAGCTCAGTGGTTCCACCACCTGCCTCGCAAGTGGAAGGTCCCGAGTTTGATCCCCGGTATCCATCCCCCAAAAAAAGAATCTATACTGATCTAAATAAAAATGTCATTTAGAGTCTGCTAAAGGTCATCTAATAACCATCCAAAAGTATAAACTAAAACACACTTAAATATGTGCCATAAAAATGCTTGGAAACTAGTCTTAAATCTTTTAAAAAGTAATTTTAAATGTATGTGAACTATTTTTTAAAAGGAAAATATTGAAGATAAGATATATTTCATAGCTCATAACATTATTAAAATGACATTTAAGGTACAGCTTTATTTTTACACACCTAAACCAAGGCATAAATAAAAGAGATGGGCTAATATTTGTTACAGATAACATGCTCGTTTCTTTCAACAAAAATTTCCGTTAAAATACTAGATATTTGAAAATTAACAGCATCCTTTCTTTAAAGGAGTTTATGAAGTGCCAATTCTTAGAACATAACCCAATACCTTTTTCTGAAGATGCCCCTTCATTCAGGATTTGGATTGCTCGCCGAATATCCAAGTTGAACAACGCCACAGCAGCAGCTCTCTCCCATTCTCCTTCTTGTACAAGGGAGTTCAAAAATGGCCCTACATCCGTATCTGTTCCTTTCTTTATCCACCCACAAAGCTGTAAAGCTAAGAGTCTCTCTTCATTTAAATTCTGAATATCAGTTTGCTTATCCAACCCAGTCCAATTATGTCTGCTGCTTTCTACCATTCCTAAAAACAGAAAGTATTTTTTTATTTTTATTGTTATTTTGAAATATATAGGGGGAAACACATTTTACAGAGAAGTATTTCAACAACGTATTTAGAATATTCAATATCTCAGTCAAAATTTTATACCATAAATATGGAATATGTCACAAATAACAAACATTGTGCATATTTGTAAGTACAAATTAGTTATCAAAGAGTTACTAGGATAGGAGTAAATGCTCAGATGGATTAAGCTGTCATTGCTTCAGGGAAATTTCTCTGACTCCCTAATCTAAAACAGATACATCTATGATTATCTAACTCACCACTCAGTGTTTCCTCTATTTCCTACATAAAGCACTAAACACAAGGTCCCTTATTTTATTACTTTACTTTTTGTCTTCTTTCCCACTAGAATACAAGCTCAGAGAGAGTAGATATCTTGTCTGTTTCTTTGCAAGGTATCCTTATTTAAGCTAAAGATTCAGTAGAAGAACTCTGATTTTTTTCTCCCTTCTCCCTCTTTCCTTCTATGCATGTACAGTTATGTGTACCTTAATGAGAAGGGAGAGAAGGGCCACTTTTGCTTCCCATCCCCTATATGGTACATGGAAAAATGAGACTGTAGCTTTCAAAATACTCTGAAAGTTTAGTATAAGTACTACAATGAAAATACAATGGGAATGATTTTTTTTCTACTTACTAAAATAGAAAATTCATATTCTCACTCCTTTTTCTTAACAAAGCTTTACTATTTTTGTAGCATTCTTTATACTGCAATCAAGGCAGCTGATTCCAATGGCAGGGAAATTTCACTTAGGTCAATACTTAGTGCCAAATAAAGGCAAAACAAATAAAGATGAAGCTTATAGACTTTAACAACTAACTCAAATTCTTTTATGTGCTAGAATGTTTTACCATTAAAATCGTCATTACATAATTATTTTTATTTTAATAAAAAGGATTTTCAGAATAAACTGAATTATGAATTAAACAACATGAATGTCCACAGTATAAGCTTCTTTTATTAATGTAGAAATTTACGTTTGTAATTTACAGGAATTATGTATTTATATAATTATTGATTCTAAACAACAGCATATATATAGCAGAGGTGAAAGAATTTTGCAGATGTAATTAAGGTACCTACACTATTGACTGAGTCAATGGGAAACCACCCTGTGTAGAAATACCTGAATCAGGTAAGCCCTTTAAAAGATGGTGCAAAAGAAAGTAAAAGTATAATTAAGAAAGGAGAAGTTGAAGTAAAAACTGCCACACTGTTGAGAAGGCCTTTGGGAAGGCCACCTGGCAAGGAACAGGGAGAGCAGCCGAAGCTTAGGGCAGCCCTGGCCAGCAGGCAGGAAGAAAGTGGATAACTTGGTCCTACAACCACAAGGAACCCTCAGCCTTTCAGCCTCTGGTAACTGAAACTTAAACGTCCTGCACACCACATTCTTTTTTCCCTTCCCTCGGGTTAATATGGAGATGCACATCCTCTTATCTAAAGCTAAATCTCTGCTAGAAATCTCATTCCTCATTTTCCTAAGAACTTTATTTTATCCCCTGTGTATCTTCAACCTCTTTCTACGGTTATTGGATTTTCCAACAACTCCATGAAATTGGAAGGGCACTCTGATTTCTAAAACTGTGGCTTGGCCAACACCTTTATTTTAGCCTTGTAAGAAGACCCAAGTTAAGCTGTGCTTAGGTTCATGGTAGACCATGAAAATGATGAGATAATGCATGTTACAGAAAACTAATACACTGCCCAGAGTTGACTCTAGCTACACTCAGTTTGGTCAAGGCATCAATGGGATAAAAGTAAGCAAAATAACAAAAAAACCCAACCTTTTAATCAGTTGTCATTTGCAAGTTAAATTTTATGAATGTATATATGTACCTATAAATATTTTTAAAAATTTAGTCTCAATACTTAAAGATTGAGTAAAGATTGTACAAAACAAAGACCTAAATTCTCCAGAACACCTAATTCATACTTAAATAACTTGTCATTGTCATCTTGATATCAGGTTGTGGCAAGTCTAAAACATTATCCATGTTAGTATGTATCTTAACCCATATTTGATTACTTTATGAAAAAAAGATTTATTCTAAATAAATTCTGATAGGATGCTGTCAAATTTCAGGTAAAATAACTTTTAGATGTATTATAAGGTATTTATTTTCATGCTTCTATGTACTTTGGAATTAAAGCTGGTATTTTTTAATGGCAAATTTTATAACAAGTGAGCAAAAAGAGGCAATTTTTTTCAAATTGTTTCTTACAGTTGAATAGCCCCATATCTTAGAGCTCTTATTTTGTAGAAATTGTGTCCTGGAATAGAGATCAACATATATGAATCCAAAGAGTTTATTAACTAGGAGGTAGACCTACAAGGGGATGAATATTGTATCACGTGTTCTGGCTGCTCAGAATTTTTTTTAATAGCTGGATAACTATGCTATGGATAATTAATGGTATCTAACAAAAATATGATGTTATCATGCATTTTTAATACATTGTTATGATTTTAACATGTATTAGTTCTAAACATATCTGCAAAGGAACTGGAATTTATGCACAATATGTAATATAGTGACAAAACTGTATTTTCTGAATCTGATTTTCTTTACAAATAATAGAATCGCTGTTTTATTGATGTTTGTAAGGGAAACAAGTTCACTTAAAAATTTAAAAAACAAGTTTAAAATTTTTGTTTTGAAATCAGCTATTTTCATATCTACAAAGTTTCAAATCAGCAGATATTATGACATTTGCAGATGTTGATTTGTTACATTTATATATGTGGATAAAATAATAGGAATAAATGACTGTTTTAAAGAATATTTTGGTGTTAAAAACACCAAAACATTTTCATCATGTTGGATGGAAAACTGGCCAGTTTTTATTACACAACCTCCTGGCATCTTAGAAGTCAGAAATTATACCAGTAACACTGAATATCACTATACGAGAATATACAAGTTGACTTCAAAGCATGCATTCTCCTGAAAATGGATAATTTGAACACTTAGCCCATCTAAAACTAACATCTCAATGACTTTGCTTCCTTATCTCCAGGGATGTACATTTCCATGATTTTAGTTGCGACTTCCTTGGCCACACTCCAAATTGTTCTTCATTCAAAAGACCTATTTTCTAACCACAACCACTGTCCAGAAGTTTCACTGCCTCTATATTCTTGAACTTTACTCTCTTTAATACTAGCATTTTTACTTCAGTCTTCTCATTTTTGTTTCTAGCCAAAGGCAAACAAGTGAATAACTCTCTTGCCAAAGTCCTTAATTCTCTTGACCCATTCTCCTTTATTCTATGTTCCTGTAAACTAATAGCCCTACAATCTTCCTGTGTTTCTCAAGAGAACTAACTCTTCTTGTTTCCATATCCTCTCCCCACAATATCCCTGCTCCTTCTAAACTGTAGGAACGATCAAATAGCCCCTCATGCTCTGGTCATTCAACCTTAAAAGATCCTGAATACCATACCCTTTCCCCATTGCCTCTGATTAATATGGAGCTGTCTATAAAGCTGATCTGTGCTCTGGATCCCATTCTTTCTAATTCCTAGGAATCTTGTTTCAGCCTCTTCCCTGACACCTTCAACTTCTTTTTATGGCCTTCCTTTAATCAGCATTAAACATGATTAAGCCAATACCATGTCGAAAATAAAGCGACATAAAAGCCCTCCTTTGGTTCCAGATTCTTTTCCCGCCTGCTACTGAATTACCATTTTAAACTCCTTTATATAGTCCAATTTCTTGAATTATTTATAATTGATGGCTTCCTTTCTTTAACCCAGTCTCAATTTCTAAGCCAACTACAATTCTCTGTCCATGCTACTACTAAAGCTCTTTCACCCATTCTTAAAGCCAATAAGAATTTTCTTTCTTATTTTACTGGTCTCAAACAAAATAAGAAGCTGAAAATCTACAAGAGAATGAGAAACAATTGTCTTTCTTAGTCTGATTCAAGGGTGGAATACTATTTGTCTTTAGCGCACTAAAAACAAAAATATTCTACTTTTCTCCCTTGCTTTTGCTCAGAAGCAATTTGTTGGCTTCTCTCTAAAATGTATTAAAATACAAAAAACACAATAATCAACCTTTGAAAATAAGAATGTCATGTGGTCTAACCTACTATATAGCTAAAATATTACACATTCTATACTTGTGGTATTTAATTCTTTTCAGTAATAGTTCTAAATTCGTAAAGTATAGGATTCAGCTTCATTTATGGGGGACATACTATATATCTGTCCATTCACCTATATTAATATACTTATTTTGTTCAGTATTATAAAGCCCCTCCCCCTTTTGATAGGCCATATAATGAGAGAACAGCAAAATGAAATAGATTAGATGAGAAGTCTATTGTATCTTTCAGCAATGGGAACTGAAGCAATTTGAAAGCCCTTTAAAAAAAAGAAAATAGGGCCACGGATTTAGCTCAGTGGTTCTGCCGCCTGCCTCGCAAGCGCAAGGTCCCGAGTTTCATCCCTGGTACCAAAAAATTAAAAAAGATAAAAAAAGGAAATAACCACTATAACAAATTTAACAGTTAATTGAAATGTTTAACTTACTCTTTAAAAAGTATGTTATTTTGCTTGGGGCTGGGGATTTAGCTCAGTGGTTTCGCTGCCTGCTGCGCAAGTGCAAGGACCTGAGTTCAATCCCCGGTACCAAAAAACAAAAAAATTACTCACAAAATAAGTATGTTATTTTGCATTTGGCTTTATTTTTACCTTGGATCTTTAACTAAGTAATTTGAACTCCTCCTCTAAAAGCTTGACTTGGGCTCAAATTTGACTAGTAAAAGCTAGAGACCAAATCTTGAGGTAGAAGATAACAGTAATATAACCCATAATTCAATTCCAATAAAAACTCAGAATATTTAAAGCAGCCAGCTAAAAAATGTTTTTTTGCTTTTATTCTTAAGTAGTTTGTCAATTTTAATCCTATATTAATTCATCCGTTTAATTAATTCATTCACTTATTAAAGAATTTTAGGTATGACTCTAAGGCCATATTTCATGGCATATTACAGTCTTTGTCAAAGCATTTGGGCAGGAAAATTTTAAAAAAAGAATCTCCTAAATTGTAACTCTTTTAATTTAGTTTTAGAAATACAAAATGCTGTGATAAAATCCAAACTAACAATTAGCATCTGATAAACCATCTTCCATAAGATTTCTCGAAGTGGGTCTTCAAATAAATAATAATGAATAATAAATGAGTAAATTTAAGAAAGTTCCTATCATCTGAATCAAACTTCCCTCCAAAAAGGATTTTGTATATAAATACAATTATGAACTTAGTACAATTCACTAAACTATCTAAAAGAAAATCAAAAAGAAAAAGTATGTTTACATACACAATCTTGAAATAACTACATAATTTCAACCAAACGATGAGGGACAAAATAAGCATAAAAAGTTATAAACTCATTTGAGAAAATAAAATGGTTTTTTCTTACCCAAAGATGATTTTACTATTGATTTAATTCCTGCATAAACCAATGATCCTTTGTTGCCTGGAGATTTCTGATCCATATCTTCTGTATATTGCTTCATAAGTATTTAAATGCATAGGAAATACTAGTGATGATGCATAATATTTCAAAGCTAAATTTATTTTCATTAGGAGCCTATTCATAACAGGCATGCATGCAAATAAGATCCTACTCTATTGTGAACTTTTATTCCTCCTACACAATCTAGAAAGCAGTAACTTAAATTCTACAGTTTTGAACAATTTTACTTCATTTAGTATTATATAATCTGAACTTGGATATAAATCATTCACTGTATTTAAAGACTAATCTTTCAGCAACTTCAAAAACATTTCTACCTGATTTACCTCACAAAATTCACAATGCAAAGGATATAGTGCAGAGTATACCAGAGTGACTTGAGCTGTGGATCTTCATTTCCAGCTAAAATGTGGTTTCTCCAGACTTGTTCTGTATCAAGTCCATACCTTGACAAAGCTCGAAGGCGCATTTTCGTTGCTATATCTTTTTCTAAAGAATCATCATTTTCTTTTTCCGCACATTCATACAGATGACGACCACAAGCCCACATTAAAGATGTAATCGGGCTCCAAGCAAGGGATATCCTTTCAAAAACCGTGAAGTCAGACATTGTTCGGTTGGGAGTCACAACTATCATTCGATTTTGACTTGTCGGATGCCATGCAAAGGAAGCAATGTAATTGTCACAAGGCTGAACACTTCTTTCAATTATTGTGGGTTCAGTTTCATCCCCGATGGGAGTGGGCGTGTGCTGCATATCATACAACCTAATAATATTGCTATCCCTTGTTAAAGTTGCAAGCAAACCAGTTCTAGTTGGACACCATGCTACTTTTGTTAAGGGTTTTGGTTGCTCAGTCAAAGTCAAAACTGGCTTTTCAAATTTTCTAAGATCCCATATCGCAACCTGACCTTCATAGAAGGAAGCAACACGATCATGGAAGTAGGGGTCTACTGTCACCCCTTGAACAGCTTTTGTGTTTACAAACATTTTCTGGCTTGTATTTCGAAGATCAAATATGGCTAGGTTACGATGCATACCAGCAAGGAGCAGTTTCTGGTCTCGTGGAAGCCAACAAAGAGAGAGACAAGCATCATTCTGCCCTAATTCATACAATGGTTTTGTTACTAATAATGTTGTTTCAGTTTCACCCGCTGAAAGTCTCACTTTTTCCATGGGAACAGTATCAGGAGTGTATTTGCTACAGATATCCCATATTAGCACTGAAAAGTCAGCTCTGTGTTTATCTAGACCAGCAGCAAGCCAGTTATTATCCAATGGATTCCATGCAAGGGTATTGCATTGTCGTGCATGTTTTGGGACAAATTCTTTTCCTATTAAATCTTTGAACTTTGAGTTATGATCTTGACCAAGACTTGTAAGTACAACTCGACCATTTGCTTGTCCAACTGCTAGGAGACATTCAGGATCGTAATTGAGATACCATGCAACACATTTCATATAGGGTGTATCTGAGTTTATTGACAGTAATGTAGCTGCAGAATCTTCAGATAAACGTAAAGATCCAGCTTTGAGTTCTGAATTCACAGTAGATTCCACATGATAAAGGCTCAGTTCTGAGTCACACACAACGAATCTATCAACCTGGTGTGGTGCCCACAAAATATCAGGTTTGGTACCGCTCATGTTTATTGATGTAATGAAAGAGACCAGTCAGTTCCATTCACTGAAAGGATTTAAAAATAAAAAGGTTTAAAATATCAACAAAATACAACTCTTACTTGAATAAACTATTCAGAAAACCAAGAAATTCTCTATGCAAGTATCCCTTTTTTCCAGTATTATTTGTATTTCTTCTCTACATCTATGAATTCAAGACAGTATTAATTTAAAAAAAGAGAGCAACCACTTCCTCCAGTAAAAAGAATTTCTAGGAATGTGAGAACGCCATCCTAGCTTTATTTCCCATGATCAGTTACCAAAATTGTACTGTTAGAAGTACCTTCAATTTAACCTCAGGGTTATAATAACCTCAGAGTGGTGAGTAAATTAATAAGTACCATCCCTTTGAAGGGGGCATTATGAATCATGGTCTTAAGCAAGAGTGTAGAGCAAGAGTCCAAAAGAACTTTCTTTAATGATAGAAATGTTCTATATTTGTGCTGTCCGAATGTCTCCAGCCACATGTGGTTACTGGGCACTAGAAATAATGTGGCTACTTTAATTTTTAAACTTCACTTCCTTTTAAATAATTTAATATCATACTAACTTTAAGTTACAATATCATACTAACAGGTTTCTTCAATTTCAACCATTAAAAGGTAGCCTATATATTAGAACACTGGCATTTATGAAGTAAAATGAATTTATTTGTTGCTCTTGTGTACTACTTATGTGCCTTGGAAAGGACACTGTTTGTGTTGGGTGGGGAATTGTTTTCTCACTTTGGATTATATTTTCCAAACCTCAGTTATGTATACACCACCTGTGACAATATTTTTCTTTAAATCTATTTATTTTTCAAATCTGAGAATCAACTTTCATCTCATCATGAGGTCCATAAATCATGAGTATGATGTTCTAAGTATATTTTCTAACATACACTAATAACTATTTAATATGTTTGATTGCATTCTATCTAAAATCATCCCATTTATGACAAGTGGTATACACATACCACACTTTGGGATACTGAGCTAAGTGATTACTAGAGTCTCTTAGTTTTCAGTTCTATAAACTTTGGATAAGTGTTGAAATGAATATACATTCTAGAAGTGTAAGAACAAACTAAAACTAGTGTAGTTAAAAATAATGTTTAGTAATAAAGGCTGCCTACAAATATTTAAATGTCTGTTTCTAACTGAGGCTGACAAGAGGTAAAAATCTGGATCAAAATCAAAAGGTACATTTAAAATCTTCATTGCAACTGGTATCTGCAGAAGAAGACTCAATTCTCAGAGTTAAAATATGGTTTACTCATTTTCATTTTAGGTAGAAGGCCCACTAGACTCCTAAAAAAGATATACAGTACTAAGTCAACTGAAATATAATTGCTTTACTTTTTGATCTTGCAAAAAATTTAGTCAGGAAGTACTAGTCTAGAATTTCACAGACTAATATGTTAGATAATTAGAAAAAACATTTTTTTTTCTTTCTCTTTCTTTTTTTTTTTGGTACCAGGGATCGAACTTGGGTCCTTGTGCTTGCAGGGTAGGTGGCAGAACCACTGAGCTAAATCCCTGGTCCAGAAAAAACATTTTTATACTGGCTTTATTTCCGTCCTTAATTCTTCAGAGTACCTTCCATTTCTTCATTTCTTTTCCACTTTAGGTATGCCTTTCCCTAATCCTAGATCAGTAGTGGCAAACCCTTAGCACATGTGTGGCTGCAGGCTGTCTGTATCATTGAAAGCTCTAAAAGTTCACCATCACTGTCCTAGATCAACTAATTATTTACTTTCTTTCCTCCACTTAGGTAGCCATATGCTACCAGACATAGGACGACAGTGTTAAGGCTCTGAAGACTGACTTTATAAGAATTACAGTAACACATTGTTTTTCATTTATTCTGTAACTGTTGATGGGGTGCTATGTTGTAGGCATTTGTTTTAAAAGCTGGGAACACAGCCAAGTGACCAAGGCAATAAAGTCCCCAGTCTAATAAAGTCTGCATTTCAGTGATGAAGTACAGTTCAATCTTAAAAGGGTTTGGAAATTTAGGAATGAGGAAGGAGAGAGGCACCTCACGTAAAAGGAAGTAGCTAAGACAAGAAAGAAAAGGTCCATCATTCTGATAAGTAAGGGATCAGATCTACACCTTCACAAACAGAGGAAACCTCTTAACTGGAGATATCCTGAGATCTGGACCATCTTCCTATTTCACAGAAAAATAAATTCTTAAACAATAACATTTTTTATCTAGGGTTCCATTTTACAAACCTGCTCTTTATACTAATGGTCTATGACAATAGTGGCGAACCTATGGCACATGTGCCACAGTGGGTGGTTTGTATCACTGATAGCTCTAAAAGGTTCATCATCACTGGTCTATGGGTAAGAAAAGTAGATGCCACATGGAAAAATCCACTTCAAAACACAAATAGAAAGTGATGCTGTAATTTTAAAAACTCTTAATTTACACCACTCTTGCATTTCCACTGAAGTGCTGCACTTGAAATATTTATGTCATCATCCACAAAATCTGATTACAGTAACTCATACAGAATTACAGAACTTGAGAGTTAGAAAGAAACTAACAAATTTCTCTCATGTGTGGGATTAAAGTGAAGACCAGATGTTTTGGTTCTTATTCAAGGTCTCTCAACTTCCACCCTAGACTACTGACTAGGATGCACTAAAAAGGATCTGACAAAGGATGAGCTACATAATTTGCACAGCCCAATGCAAAATGAATATTTTTATTAGAAAAATTATTACAAATTTCAAGATGGTGATAGCAGAACTTTAGATTGTGAGTCATTCTAAATGCTGGGTCCAATGCTATTACTATATACAATACAGAGGGATACTTGCTTGTGAATACACATAACTAGGAATCTGGTAGAGACCAAAGAAAACAACCTAGACTCAGAATCCCTTCAGCCACACTAGCTTAGACCCTAACAAGTCTCTAATACTCCAAGACCATTAAACAGAGACAGAATCTATCCTATTTCCATTTCACAAAGTTGTGACAATCAAAAGAAATTAGTTCTTTGCTTTACACGTATATCCATATCATTACTATTCTCTTGACAGTCTTGGAAGTTAAGTTTTCAAATGCCTGAGACACTGAAAAATCAGGTGTAGAGGAGGTGGAGTTCTGTAATAATTATGGCTTATATTTAGATTCTCACCTTCAAGTTTTAACAAGTGTTCACTTCCTCTCAATGGCTTCTCAGCACAGGAAAGCTGTGTTGAGTCTTTGTTCATCACCAAAACGTCTCTAACAGTGCTGTACAACAAAAATATGGTGTGAGGCACATGATTTATAACTCTCCAGCAGCTATGTTTAAAAAGTAAAAAAAACAACAACAAAAAACCCCCATGAAATTAAATTTAAAATATATTTTATTTTACCCAACTTATCAAAAAACATTATCCTTTTAATATACAATCGATGTTAAATTATAACTGGGAAATTTTATTTATTTTTTGGTGCCAAGTGTCTTCGAAAGCCGGTGTTTTACACTCACAGCACATCTCAAACCACGTGGCTATTGGACAGACTTCCAATACACTATAATAACACAAAGCAGACAATCACATGCTTTTTTCTCCCCGTTTCTATTTTCCTTACCATGACAAATTAGTGTACAATGACAGCAGTGCCAGCAACATTCCAGTATTGCCATCTTCAACAAGATGCACTGCAAAAATACAAATTTCCCTAGAAAAAGAGTTATGCAAGAGGCCTGTAAAGCCAGTCATATTTTCATTACTGGACTCTAGAGAGAACAGAGCTCACCCGGTGGGTGCTCTTTAGGAAGCATTTCATCGGGTACCCGGAACAGGGGACGCTGCTCTCGGGGACACCCGGAACCTCAGCGCGACTGCCTGGCCGGGACGCCGGGCTGCGCCCCGGGTGACACGAAGGCGGGGCTCCGCTCCCAGCCGCCGTGGCGGGGGCTTGAGAAGCCTCGCGTGGCCTCCGCCACTCCGGACTCGTGCCGAGGCCCGCGCGGCGCAGTCATCATCCCTCGGCGTCCCCAGCGAGGCTCCGGGGAACTCCCGGGCCCGCTCCCGCCCTGAGCCCTCCACGGGGCTCTCCTGGGCCCACGAGGCCACCCAGGTGTGCTCGGAACGCAGACGCGGCCCGCCGCACTCACTGACCTGAGGCGGCAGCGCGACCGCCGCTTCCGGCCCGGACACGGGCAAGATGGCGGCGGCCGAGAGCGGTGCTGCCGGGGCCCACGACCTAACCACTGGCCTCCAGCCGCGCCGCTGCGCCTGGGCCTCGCAAGGGGAGTCCCCGCTGGCGGACCGCCCTTCCCTCTCCCGGGACTCACTGCCTAGGGGCGGGGCCGCCGTCCCGGAGCCCCCGCCTTGCCCCGCCTTTCCACAGGCCCCGCCCCCGGGGCTGGTCCCCCGGGTGTCCGGAGCTCAGATCCCAGATAGAGCCTTCCAGCGCCTTCACACACTTCAGCTCGTTTGATCAATTTTAATGCCTATCAAACATTATTGAGGGCGATATGGTAGAAAATCTAGGGTTTGGAGGTTATGACGTATTCACCTTTTACTCTGTCCACAAATAGGTCTTGGACACCCATTTTATACCTAGCACGGAGTTGGAATGCTGGGGATGTAGGAGAGCCCTAAAAAGACACGTCCCTGTGGAAATCGGGCAATTAGTGAGGGCTTGTTAAGGCCTGTAGAGTACTGCACAGGAGAGGAACCCACTTGGTGGAAGCCCAGCAAAGCCCCCTTGACGATCACTAGGATGAGACAAGAAGACTGAATAAATATGAGAGGGCTCCAGGCGAGAGGGTAGAAAGAAAAGAGCCTTCTAAGGATGGGTAAGATCAAGTGCTGCTCAGGAGAGAGGGCCTAACAGTGGAATGACTGTGAGGCTCCCACTTAGCTCGGTTTGCTTTCAGAGGATTCAATTACGCGATGTTAACTGAAGCCTGAAGATATTAAATACCAAATTCTAGAAAGAATTCATAAGTTTTAATTTCTGAGTGATGTGATGAGTGCTCGCTTTGGTAGCACATATACTGGGTGATGTGATGAAATCTCATCCACAATATGAACCACTTTTTCTAGGGCAAACCCTGCAAGGTATAGGCTGCATTGGTCACTTAGTAGTTTTGAATGATCAGATTGAGTACTAATGCTTGTGTTCAACCACACCAGGATACCTTACATCATTCACCTCACTTCATCTCATAAGAGTAGGGTGAGTTCAGTACAATATGATAGAGAGAGGAAGGCCATTCAACCAACCATGGATCAAAAATATTTGAAAGGGGCAGGGATTTAGCTCAGTGGTTCTTCCGCCTGCCTCACAAGCACAAGGTCCCTAGTTTGATCCGCGGTACCAAAAAAAAATATATTTATATATATATATATATATTTGAAAAACTTGTGTCTACCTAGTATTGGGGGAGGTGGGAACCAGAAGGGTTTTCCAGGTTCTTATTTGTCCCAGTCAATGAATTGGTAAGGACAATAGGTAGATATGAAAGATTGCTGTTTACTTTAGGGCAGAAATAAGAAAAGGAAAAGAAAAAAGACGAAGTGCAAAAGAAGTGCTCAGGGAGAAAAGTGTGCTTTAAAAGAAAAAGAGGATTCATCCTGCAAGCAGAACGGACCACTACAAGAACAAAGGTCAGTGGCCCAAAAGTCAACTGTTGTGTTCTTTTATGTCTTCTTTGGTAGTTGATCCAGGTGGTCCCACTTGGTCTTGTGCAAGAAGACTGATATCAGGTGTCAGGTTTTGGTGTGTTCTCAAGTCAGAAGATTGGTACCTGGTGCGGGGCTCAGCTTGATCCTGTGTTAGGTTTGGGTGCTGCTGTTTGGCACCTGTGGTTAATCTCCTCAATTGGGAGATTGTGCCCTGCTGCTCCAGCTACGTTGCCATGCCCTAGCCTCCTACTACATACCCGTATTGAACATTTTTCTTGTGATTCCCTAAACAATATGGTATTTAAAGACACTTTACATAGTACTTGCTTTGTATTAGATATTATAAGTAATCAGGAGGGGTACAAATACATCATTTTCTATAAGGTACTTGAGCATCTACAGATTTTTTTATGCTTGGGAAGTACCAATGGTGACTGTATAGTATTATAATTGTTCTATTTTATTATTAGTTATGTTAGTCTTACTATGCTGAATTTACAAATTGGATTTACCGTAGGTATATATGGATAGGAAAAAACAGTATATATGAGGTTTGATACTATCCACAGTTTCAGATGTTTACTGGGGGTACTTACAAGATATCTATGAAGGAGAAGGGGACTACTGTGTGGATGAACAGAGGAAATGTAGTCAGGGTTTTGGCAAGGGAATACATTTACTAAAAGACACATAGTTGATAGGATTATTTTATTATAATTACCCAAAAAGTCAAATGCAAAGGAATGCAAGAGATTAACTGCACAGTAAGGGCCCAAAGAATCCAGCTGAGCTCCTGGATCCCAGCAATGTCCCACACAAGTCGAGCTAAAGGCTTAGAGTCCAATGCAAAGTCCTCCATGAGTCTAGCCAGTGGCCTAGAGCCCACAGCAAGTCTCATGGTTGTCCGTATTGAGGATCTGAACCTGGAAGGCCCAAAGGCCAGTGGTGGAAGCCAGAAAACCTACACTGGTGAGATGAATGATTTGTGCCACTAAGCTGAGGGATCCACATTAGAGCCAGGGAGTGATGCTAACGGTGAAGATCAGAGCTCCCCTGAGGAAAACAGCAGCCATTCCCAGTGACAGTGAGGCCCCGAGAGCTCCTCCTCCAATGAGAACAGCCTAGTTTGCATCAGGAAAACCATCCACAGCAAGCTTCTCCTAGAAAATCAACCGGCCAAGATCTTCCTTTCCAGTTCTCTTTTTTATGGCTATTGGTAACAGTCCTCAGGTGGATCCCCCATGCTCAGATGACACTGATTCAGTTCAGATGGGTGTTACAAGTTGATCATTAGTTAATCCACTACGGAAAGTATGGAGAGATTAAAATGCCGTATTAGGCACTGAAAATCAGCGTAGTGAATTTGGATGGACTTTTTCCTAAGGCAATGGTGGAATCATTGGAGATTTTTAATGAGGCTAGTGTTATTGGGTAGTTCTTTTTAGAAATGGATTGTGAATTAAACTCATTCCAGGTTCTTCTCACCTCAAAGAATTGGATAAAACAAGCCAAAAAGTCAGTGCCAAAAGTTTATTTGAAAAGTGTGTGTGTGTGGGGGGGGACAAGGATTTAGCTCAGTGGCACCACCCCTGCCTTGCAAGTGCAAGGTCCTGAGTTTGATCCCTGGTACCAAGAAAAAAAAAGTAGGGGTACTGAGAGTAGGGTCATTGCTGTGACATTACCTGGCCATGTAGCTCAAGAGCCTTTGGAACTGGTTTGTGGGAAGGGGAAGAGTTAGGAAAGATTTGGAGATGCCAGCCGAAGATGTAGACCTGGAATGCCTTTGGCTGTTCTGTATAGGAGATTCTGGTCAGAGCTCAGAAGACCAGAAAGCCAATAAAGACTAGGCTCAGGAGATTTCTGCTGGGAAGAAGGAATGCATTGGCTGCTGGACTCTAGATAATGTGTGTTATGGCTCAGTAGAAAGTTTGTCTGCATTTTGCTCATGTCTTTTGCTACTTTGTCATGCCATGTTGTTGCTCCTCTGTGATGCCTGTTTGCCATCACTGCCTTGGAGCCAGCTGATTATGGAGTGAAACCTCTACACACTGTAAGCCAAACAAACCTTTCCCCTTTTAACTTTGGGTGTTGGGAATTTTGTCTCAGCAACGAGAGAAAGTAATTAACACGGGGGGTGAGGGAGAAACTGCCTCTGCAGAGCAAAGTTGGGGTAAACAAGAAAGGAAAAAAGCAAATATAACAGTACAACTTGGGTCTGGAAAGACACAGGGTTGGATACCATGTAAGGGACACGATGGCCAGCTTCTCCTGGTGTTTCATCTCTTATGCTATCTACATATGGTGGGAACCTGTGAGTTCTACATAGAGCATCTTGAGAGGTGGTGCTGTGCAGATCCTGGAATCCTGCCATACCTCTCTTCCCTGCCAGTTTAAGCCAGGCCCTATCTCTTATTTCAGTAGTATGACCAATTTTTGCACAGAGAGCTGGAGGGATAGTCCAGATGAGAGATGATGGAAACTCAAATTACCAATGGTATGGAGAGTGGGAATTTAGAGAAGTTGGCAGCCTGGGTGGGCGACGGGGCATTTAGAAGATGGTCTAAACAGAGCTTGAAGATTGACCAAGGGAATGACAAAGAGATAAAGAGGATTTTAGGTGTGGCCCCCATAACTGTGTGGTACTGTCCTGGGTGTTACCAGTGTGACCCTTCAGATGGTTCCCTTCAGATGGCTGACCATTGTTGCTTGTCTCTTCATGCTTATGAGGAGAAGTCTTGGATTTGTGGTGGTGATTGATATAAACAGCATACTGGTTTTAGTCCTAATGATTTTCAAGGCAAATTGTTTCGGTGAGAGGATGAATTTGGGGATGGCTTTTCATTCCTGCTGTTGGAAGAGTGGAGTCTGAAGGAAATGTTGTATGATTGAAAGAAGATATCACAGGATTTATCACTTCAGGACTGTCTTGCCAGTCTTTATGGTTTTGGCCTCAGCCTCAAGTCCTCACACACCACCTCAAATCCATATAAATGTCTGCCTAGCCACTCTTGCCATACATAGTTGTGGAAAACTCTTCCGCCAAGCTTAGGAGAAGACTTGGCCTCTTACTTGAGAAAGAACTATTAGGTAGGAGTACCCCCCAAGGCTCTTATTACTTTCTCTTTCTGTCCTCCAACATCTTTACTCACTGCCATTCATATCTTTAGCTGACATGCAGGAAGAGGAGGAATTCCTGTATTTCCTCTTAAGATCTGGCAACATCAATTTTCTGCTCTCCTGTGTGTCTTCAACCTCTCCATTTTTACTGGTTCTTTAACTTCACATACATTAGTCAGTTACACACTCTCAAAAGAGGGGACCATACTTGCTCTCTCTAGTCCCAATTCCTCATATCTCCCCAGAATCCACTCCACTCAGTCTTTCATCCCCACCATGCCATTTGTCAGGGTCACCAATAACCACCATGCTGCCTGTTCCCATGGCCAAAGTTTCACCATTGCAGCTTTTTTTCTCGACTCTTGAAATATTTTATTATTTTGTTCCATATCATTGGTCTTTTTTGTCTTCTGATGGGGTTGTTTTTTGAACAAGGAAAATGTGGTCTTGCCTCAGGTCTCTGCACCAGCTGCTCCC